TATTCCTGCCATCTTCTCTTGATGTTTCCTGCATCATTCAATATTTTGCCCATAGAATCTCTCACTATTGCAACTCGAGGCTTAAATTTGTTCTTTAATTCCTTCAGCTTGAGAAATGCTGAGTGTGTTCTTCCCTTTTGGTTTTCAAACTCCAGGTCTTTGCAAATTTCAGTATAGTAATTGGTTTTGTCTGCTTGAGCTGCTCTTTGAAATCTTCTGTTCAATTCCTTTATCTTGTCATTTCTTCCATTGACTTTAGCTTCTCTCTGCTCAAGGGCAAGTTTTGGAGTCTCTTCTGTCATCTATTTTGGTCGTCTTTTCTTGTCTTTTTAGTGATCTCTTGCTTTCTTCATGGATGATGTTCTTGATATCCTCCCACAATTCTTCTGATTTTCAGTCATTGGTGTTCAGTGAATCAACTCTATTCTTTAGATCTCTAAATTCAGGAGGGATATATTCAAGATCATATTTTGGCTCTCTTGGACTTATTTTAATTGTCTTCAACTTCAAGTTGAACTTGCACATGTGCAGTTGATGGTCTGTTCCACAATCAGGTCCTGGCCTGGTTTTGGCTGATGATACTGAGCTTTTCCACCATCTCTTGCCACAGATATAGTCAGTCGATTCCTGTGTGTTCCATCTGGTGAAGTCCATGTGTAGAGCCACCGTTTGTGTTGTTGAAAAAAGGTGTTTGCAATCAATAAGTTGTTGGTCTTGCAAAATTCTACCATGCGAGTTCCAGCATTATTTCTGTCGCCAAGGCCAAATTTTCCAACTACCGGTGATTCTTCTTTGTTTCCAACTTTTGCATTCTAGTCACCAGTGATAATTAACACATCCTGATTGCATGTTTGGTCAATTTCAGACTGCAGAAGTTGATAACAATCTTCAATTTCCTCGTCTTTGGCTTTGGTGGTTGGTGTGTAAATTTGAATAAGTCATATTAATAGGTCTTCCTTGTAGGCGTATGGATATTATCCTATTGCTGACAGCATTGTACTTCAGGACAGATCTTGAAACATCCTTTGTGATGATGAATGCCATGCCATTCCTCTTCAAACTGTCATTCCCAGCATAGTAGATCACATGGTTGTCTGATTCAAAATGGCCAAAACCAGTCCATTTCAGCTCACTAATGCCAAGGATATCAATCTTTATGTGTTCCATTTCTTTTTTGACAACTTCCAATTTTCCTAGATTCATATTTCGTACATTCCATGTTCCGATGATTAATGGATGTCTGCAGCTGTTTCTTTTCAATTTGAGTGGTGCCACATCAGCAAATGGAGGTCTCGAAAGCTTTACCTTATCCATAGGAGTAAGGCTGGGTTTACTCAGATGTGCAGCTCTTTCCCAGTCCTATTTTGAGAGCCTTCTAACCTAACCGGGCTATTCATAAAGTTGTGTGGTAATGTATGAAACAGCGTTTCTTTGCTATTCATAAGGTTTTCCCTGGCCAATTCTTTGAGAAGTGGATGGCCTCCTCCTTCTTCCTTGTCTGTCTCAGTCTGTAAGCTAGGCTGATACGTGTGCACCATGTGCATCCTGCTGGGTTAGAAACACCAGTGGCTCAGCCTCAAAACTCACATCAACACGTCACAACGGTAGGACAAACCGACAGACAAGTTTGTCTCCCTCTTGGAAACCTCTCTTACCACCCTTACCTGGGTCCCTGTGCCTGACTTCTCCTCTGTCCAGATTCCTAGACCTTTTAATCCCCTTTCTCTGGCTCTCCCGCCCTGCTGCTTTGGGTGTGCCTGAGTTCCCTCTCCTCACCTGGATCCCTGCGGCTGACGGAACGGAAAATAGGCCCACACAAAAATGTGCACGCATATGTTCATAGCTATACAACTTCCAGTGGCCAGAAGGTGGGACCCACTCAGATGTCCATCCACAGACGAAGGGAGAGACAAAACGTGGTCTCTGCAGAGCACAACTCACCCAACCTCCTGCCGCCAAGTCTATCTGACTCAGCGCAACTGCCCACGGGGTTTCCAAGGCAGTCATCTTTACAGAAGCTGATCACCGTTAGCAGAGCGGCTAGTGGGTTTGAACTGCTGACCTTCTGCAGCCGAGCACTTCACCACCATTCTCCTTTCTGTCCGTGCAGTGGGATATTAAGTAGGCATAAAAGGAGTGACGTTCTGACCCATGGTGCAGCATGGATGAGGCCAGGCAAGAGGACAGACAGGAGTCCTCTGATAAGAACTCTTGGTGGCTTCATGGTGCTGGGGTGTGTGCCTGGGAGCGCCAGGAAAGGGCTGCTTTTTGGGGGATGAAAATGGTCTAAATGGTGGCTGCACAGCTTGGTGTGTGAGGCGGCAGGGGACTGTACACCACGGAAGGGAATTGTATCTGAAAGCTGTTACATTAGAGAGAAGCAGGACTAGAAGTGCGTGCTGTGGTGCCCCATGGTCCCAAGCGCCCAGTGCCCGGCCCACCCCGGCGGCCTCTGTGGGCCCCACTCACTCCAAGCTGGTCAGGCTCCTGTTGAGCTGTAGTGCTTGTCCCAGGGCCTTGGCGGCACCGGCCTGGAGGAAGTTCCACTGCAGGCTGGGCAGACAAAGACGCCTGTGAGCACGTGGCTGGGGATCCGGGAAAGCGGGTGCTTCCACAGAGGGGGCTGGCCCACGGGAGGGAAGGGCGAATTCCCATCTGTCTCCTCGGGCTCAGTCCCCAGAGGGTCCATGTGGCCCCTGAGAAAGCCTGTGACACCCAGAGGCACAGCTGTCGCCTTGCCTGACCATGGGTCAGCCCCAGAAAGCAGGATGTGGCCTTAGGACAGGCCGCTGAGGCTGGTCTGCTGCATCGGCTGGTTTGGGGTGGACTGGGGCCCTGGGTGGGGAGTGGGGCTACAGACTCACTGAAGAGATGTGAGGGCCCGGTTTTCTCTCATGGCCCCGGCGATGGCCTGGGCGCCCTGGTCGTGGAGGAGGTTGGCTGTCAGACTAGGAGGAAGGGAACAGGAGCACGTGAGCAGGGCCAGACCCTGAGGCCCACCCGCCCAGGAATGCGTCCACTTCGTGTCCGTGTTAGGACTTCCATGTGCCAGGCACACGATCCTGACAGTGGCCCCGCGAATCAAGTGTCACCGGACTTGGCAAGGTGCGGTCACTGTCGGGGTCAGCCAGGAAGTGGCAGAGCCACGATCCCAATGGGGCAGTCTGCTTGGGGACTCCTACAGCCACTCGTTCCTCACCACAGGGATGAGGTTGGCAAACCATTTCCATTCTTGTGTCTCTGTGATGCAAATGGGAAATGGAGGGCAGAGGTGGGAGGGCCCGGGTGGGGTGCCACCAGACACCAGATGAGGATGGTCCTTCATGGCAGGCAGGCCCTGGGGGGCGAAGCCCCCACGTAAATAACCCTCTGGTAGTACTGCCCTGCCCCTCCCCAGCCCCTCTCCCCCGCCCCCCACCTACTCCAGGTGCTTCAGGGTGCTGTTGGTGCAGAGGGCTCGGGCGAGAGCTGGGGCTCCTTCAGGACTGACGGAGTTTTCTCGGAGGCTGAGGAAAGAGAAGACCCTGAGCTTCCGGCCCAGCAGATGGACAGACAGAGGCCTTGGCCAGTGACAGGCCAGGTGCTTAGGGGCCCCCAGGCCCCCAAGTGACCTGTCTGTGGTGAGGGGTGTGGGGGCCTGTTCCAACAAACGGGGACCCAGGCCCTCCGAGTGGCCTGCAGTGAGGGGTGTGGGGGCCTGTTCCAATGAGCAGGGCACAGGTTCCCAGCAAGAGGAGAGTCCAGGAGATAAGGTTACAGGTTGTCCAGGTGTGAAGGGAAGAGACGGGCGAGCCTGTGTGTGTGTGAGGGGAGCCTAAAGGGCCCGTAGATAGGAAGGGAGCCAAGAACGGGCTGTCTAGGGCCACACTGTCCCCTGCCCTCCTGTGAGAGCAGGTGAGTGGCAGCATGCCAGAATCCTGAGCTAAGGCTGCCTTTGACCATAACAGACCCTGCGGGTATGTGTGTGGGCTCCCCAGCGTTGGCCTGTCCTCCTAAGTCCCAAGTTCCTTCAGACCCCCATCCTCAGAGAGATGCTGTGGTTGGAGAGGGCGGGACCAGGACTCACTTGAGGCTGAGGAGGGTCCGGTTGGTGCAGAGAGCCCCCATCAGCGCTGCCACCCCTGCGTCACTGATGGAATTGCTCTGCAGGCTGCAGACAGAGGGTGGGCTCACTTGGCGTTCCAAGAGGCTGTCCTAGGACCCGAGGGAGCTGTGTGGTCCATCCTGGGCCACGGTGCTGGGTTCAACAGGGAGGGCGGGCCCTGGGGGCAAGTTCCACCCCGCATCTCCCTCCTCACCACACCCTTCCTTTCCCATCCTGGGGTGGCTAGGTCAGGCAGGTGGGTTCAGCACCCCAGGCCTGAAGTTTAGATGCTCCCTTGATGTGGGTGGCTCCAAGTGGCCTCTGAAGGGCACGTGTCATGTCTGCAACGCCCACAGCAAGTGATGAGGCAGTGTGCGGACAGTGCCAAGCTCCCCACCCCAAGCCACTGCAGCCAAGTGGCCTTCAGTTTCCTGCACCAGCTTTTCAAGGGCACTGGGTGCTTCCTGTCACTCTGAAAACTCCAGAACCAACCAAACCACGGGGATGTGGTTAGTGGGGTGGGTGGGTGTGGACGGAGAGAGACTGAGATCAAGGTATATCCAGGGCCTGTGGGTTGGTTTAATTCTGCCAGGGAAGTGGCCTGACGAGTATCCCCCCATCTGCTAGATGGGGACCCCAGGGGGATCACCCTCAGTCCACAGCACCCCTGCAGGGTGTCAGGCAGACTCACCCGAGGCTCTCCAGGCCCTGATTCACCTTTAGGGCCTCAGCCAGGGCCTTGGCGCCTCTGTCACTGATGCTGTTGCTGGAGAACCTGTGAGAGGTGGGGCGTGGGTGAGCCAGCTTCCTGGAGTAGCCAGGCAGGTCAGGGTCCAGGAAGCCCTCTGAGGGAAGGCCGTCTGTTTTCTCAAGGATGCCTCATGCATTGTTCTGTTTGAAACCTATTGAGTGGTAGCCTCTGCAAGTGACCACCTGCCTCTGTAAGTGGTCAGCATGGCAAAGTTCTCAGCTCCCTGCCAGTGTGGTACTTAATGTGAACGTGGCTTTGTTCTTCATCTAGATGGGAAGGCAGTAAGAATGTGAACCTGAGAAGGCCAGGGTTCACACAGTCCTGCATGTGGGTCTCCATAATCCTGATCTAGTGCTCTGGATGCCAGAGCCAGCCATCCTGCACTCACACATCCATCTGTCCATCTACCCACCCATCCGCTCATGTACCCTTACACCCACTCCTCCATCCACCCACTCATTCATCCCATCTACCCACACATCCATCTACCCACCTACCCATCCCACTCATCCATCCATGCACTCACTCTGGATGCTAGAGCCAGCCATCCTGCACCCACACATCTATCTGTCTACCCATCTGTCAACTCATGTACCCACCAACCCATTCATCCATCCATTCATCCATCCATCTACTCATCCATCCATCCACCCACCCATCTATCCACCCACCCACCCACCCACTCTCCCCACTCATCGATCCATCCACCCATCCATACACTCACTCTGGATGCCAGAGCCAGCCTGCAAGCACACATCCATCTCTCTGTCTACCCATCCATCCACTCATGTACCCATCTGCCCATTTATCCATCCATCCACCCACCCATCCATTCATGTAGCCATCCACCCACTCACCCATCCATCCACTCCATCCATCCACTCCACCCATCCATGCACCCATCCACTCCATCCATCCATCCATCCACCCATTCATCCATCCATCCCCATGCTCACAAGTATTTACGGTGGGCTGGGCATTGTGCGGGCACCCAGGATACCAGTTTGGCCATTGTGCATTTCTCACATGAGCTCCTTCAGCCTCCTGTTCTGCTTCAGGGCATCTGCCATCTTCTGAGCTCCCATAGGCCCAATGGTGTTCTTCTGCAGGCTGTGGAAGAGGAGAGCAGTCCTCAGTAAAGCCGGCTCCAGCATTCCTAGGCCTAGGACAGCCCAGGGTCAAGGTTAGAGGTTAGAGGCAACTAGACCACCAATCTAGACCAGAGACAACTTCCTTTATCACAGCATGGGGGCGGGGGTGCTCCGGAAAAGGTCTGTGGGTCATTGCCAAAGTGTTGCCAATGATATTATTATGTGGATGGGTTAGAGGCAAGAGCAGCCAGGCCTTCCCTTCTAAGGGGCTGGAAAGCAGTGACTGGTGGCCACTGAGAATACCCAGCAACCTCCCAAATGGGACTTCCATGTGCAAGTCCTGCTATCTCCACACTCGGAACACCTACTCAACAATCAACGGTCTACCACCTGCCTCCTGACACTAGAATGCTCCCTAGAAACCTTGCTAGCAATGACCAGAGGGGAGGGCCTCTGTATAGATTCTTTTCCTCAAAAAGGCACTTCCTTGTATACCAAGTCTGGTAGAAGGTGAGCCAGTAGAATCCCACGGGGCTGGTGAGAAGCCCTGGCCCTTTGGCCCCTGTCCTTATTCTGAGAGGACAGGTAGGGCTGGGCTTTCCTGTAAAGGGCAAACACAAATCTAAAGAATGGAATCTCCCTGGGACCCAAAGGGAAAGACACCTCTTCCCGCCTCCGTTTTCTTTAAACATTTCTTTGAGAAAACTTGTGATTGTAAATCCTCTCTCTGTCCCTTTGAGATGTTTGTAAACATTTTCAAAAGCTTGTCTGTCCGTTTGTCTGATTATGTTGTTGTTGTTATTTGCCATCGAGTCGGCCCCGACTCATAGCGACCCCTCTTGGGTTTCCGAGGCAGTATCACTACGGAAGTAGGAATGCCCAACCTTCCTTCCGAGGAGTGGCTCGTGGGTTTGAACCACCAGCCTTCTGGTTAGCAGTCAAGTGCCTTAGGCACTATGCTACCAGAGCTCCTTGTCAGATTATAGTGGCTTATATGTTGCTATGAAGCTGGAAGCTATGTGACTGGTATTTCAAATACCAGCAGGGTCACTCATTCATGGTGGACAGGTTTCAGCAGAGCTTCCAGACTAAGACAGACTAAGCAGAAGGATGAGATAGTCCACTTCTGAAAAAAATTGGCCACTGAAAACCTTGGGAATAGCAGTGAAACACTGATACGATGCCAGAAAACCTTATGAATGGCAGTGAAATATTGTCTGATATAGTGCTTGAAGATGAGCCCCTCTGGTTGGAAGGCACTCAAAGCACGACTGGGGAAAAGCTGTCTCCTCAAAGTAGAGTTGATCTTAATGACGCAGATGGAGTAAAGCTTTTGAGACCTTCAGTTGTTAATTGGCATGACTCAAAATGAGAAGAAACTGCTGCAAACGTCCATTCATATTTGGAATGTGGAATGTACAAAGTATGAATCTAGGAAAACTGGAAGTTGTCAAAAATGAAATGGAACATGTAAACATCGATATTCTAGGTATCAGTGTGCTGAAACGGAGCTGAAACGGATGGCTGGTATTGGCCATTTTGAAACAGACAATCATATGCTCTACTGTACCAAGGATGACAAATTGAAGGGGAATGGTGTCATTTTCATTGTCAAAAAGAACTTTTCGAGATCTATCTTGAAGTACAATGGTGTCAGTGATAGGACAATATCCATACATCTACAAGAAAAGCCAGTTTATACTACTATTATTCAAATTTACACACCAACCACTAAAGCCGAAGATGAAGAAACAGATGATTCTTACCAAATTCTGCAATGGACCAGACATGGAATCGAGATGCATTGGTAATTGCTGGTGATTGGAATGTAAGAGTTGGAAACAGAAGCATCAGTAGTTGGAAAATACGGCTTTGGTGAGAGAAATGACACCAGAGATCTCATGATAGAATTTGCAAGACCAATGACTTATTCATTGCAAATACCTTTTCCGAACAATATAAGTGGTGAAGCCAAAGAAAATCAAAACAAGTCCATGAGAGCTAAAATACGACCTTGAGGATATCTACCTGAATTTAGAAACCATCTGAAAAATAGATCTGACTCATTGAACACCTGTGACTGAAGACAAAATGAGTTATGGAATGACATCAAGGATCTCATACATGAAGAAAAAAAAGATCATTAAAGACACAGGAAGAAAAGACCAAAATGGATGTCAGAACAGAGTCTGAAACTTGCTCTGGAACAGAGAGTAACTAAAGCAAAAGGAAGAAATGATGAAGTAAAAGAGCTGAGCAGAAGATTTCAAAGGACAGCGCAAAAAGACAAAGTGAAGTACTAAAAGAACATGTGCAAAAGCCTTGAGTTAGAAAATCAAAAGACAAGAATAATTTGGCATTTCTCAAGCTGAAAGAAATGAAGAAAAAATTCAAGCCTCAAGTTGCAATATTGAAGAATTCTACAGGCAAAATAGGAGCTCTGGTGGCATAGTACCTAAGGCATTTGACTTCTAGCCAGAAGGCCGGCAGTTCAAACCCACCAGCCACTCCTCGGAAAGAAGATTGGGTAATCTACTTCTGTAGTGATACCTCCTCAGAAACCCAAAGAGGGGTAGCTATGAGTCGGATCCGACTCGATGGCAGTGAGTTTGGTGTTTTTTTTATTTTTTAATGGGCAAAGTATTGAATGATGCAGGAAGCATCAAAAGATGGAAGGAATACAGTTACTGACCAAAAAGAATTGGTCAACATTCAGCTATTTCAGGAGGTGGTGTATGATCAGGAACTGATGGTAATAAAGGAAGAAGTCCAAGCTGCACTGAAGGAATTGGCAAAGAACAAGGTATACCCATTGAGACGTTCCAACAAACAGATGCAACACTGGAGGTGCTCACTTGTTTAAACTAAGAAATTTGGAAGACAATTACCTGGTCAACCGACTAGAAGCGATACATATTTGTGTCCATTCCAAGGAAAGGTGATCCAAAAGAATGCAGAAATTATTGAACAATATCATTACTTCACATGCAAGTAAACTTTGCTGAAAATAATTAAAAAATGATTGCAGTAGTACATTAATAGGGAACTGCCAGAAATTCAAGCTGCATTCAGAAGAGGACATGCAATGAGGGATATCATTGCTGATGTCAGATGGATCTTGGCTGAAAGCAAAGAATACCAGAAAGATGTTTACCTGTATTTTATTGACTGTTGTTGTTGTTATGTGCCGTCAAGTCGGCCCCGACTCATAGCGACCCCTCCTTGGGTTTCCGAGGCAGTATCACTACGGAAGTAGGATTGCCCAACCTTCCTTCCGAGGAGTGGCTGGTGGGTTTGAACTGCCAGCCATCTGGTTAGCAGGCAAGTGTCTTAGCCACTATGCTACCAGAGCTCCCATTTTATTGACTATGCAAAGGCATTTGACTGTGTGGATCATAACAAATTATGGATAACATTGCAAAGAATGGGAATTCCAAAACTCTTAATTGTGCTCATGAAGAACCTATCCATAAACCAAGAGGCAGTCGTTCAAATAGAATAAGGGGATGCTGTGTGGTTTAAAATCAAGAAAGGTGTGTGCCAGGGTTATATCCTTTCACCATACTTATTAATTTTGTATGCTGAGTAAATAATCCAAGAAGCTGGACTGTATGGAGAAGAATGCGGTATCAGGATTGGAGGAAGACACATTAACAACCTGCAGTATGCAGATGACACAACCTTGCTTGCTGAAAGTGAAGAAGACTTGAAGCACTTACTAATGAAGATCAAAGACTACAGCCTTCAGTATGAATTGTACCTCAACATAAAGAAAACCAAAATCCTCACAACATCATGATAAATGGAGAAAAGGTTGGAGTTGCCAAGGATTTAATTTTATTTGGATCCACAGTCAACACCCGTGGAAGCAGCAGTCAAGAAATCAAACGACATACTCCATTGGGCAAATCTGCTGCAAAAGATTTCTTTGAAGTGTTAAAGAGTAAAGATGCCACTTTGAAGACTAAGGTGCACCCGACCTGAGCCATGCTATTTTCATTTGCCGCACATACATGTCAAAGGAATGCTGTAGAAGAGTTGATGCATTTGAATTGTGGTGTTGGTGAAAAATACTGAAAATACCATGTACTGCCAGAAGAATGAACAAATCTGTCTTGGAAGAAGTACAGCCAGCATGCTGCTTAGAGACGAGAATGGCCAGACTTCATCTCACACACTTTGGTCATGTTGTCAGAAGGGGCCAGCCCCGGGAGAAGGAGATCATGCTTGGTAAAGCAGAAGGTCAGTGGAAGAGGGGAGGACCCTCAATGGGGTTGATTGGCTCTGTGGCTTCAATGAGGGGCTCATGCACAGCAACAACTGGGAGGATGGGGCAGGACCGGGCAGTGTTTTACTCTGTTGTGCATAGGGTTGCTGTGAGTCAAAACCAGTCCAGTGGCACTCGGAATGGTTTTCTCTTGAGAACATGCATGAAGTGAGTTGAATCGTCCTGGCTCAATACAAGGTGAGCTCTCTGTCTGCCTCTGAGATCTCATTCACTAAGTCTGGTTTTAGGGCTGTGTTGTTCTTTTCTACATTTGTGGACCCAACAACTCTTCCTTTTCTCTGGAAGAGAATTGGGCATCAAGTTTCCCAGGGGCCATCTGGACAAGTGAGAAAGCCTCAGGACCTCCTCCCACCCATTCCTCCTCACAGGAAGACAGGCAGAGAGACCCTTGGAGAAGGGGAGCAGAGGAGAGAGGAGTGCTCCTAGTGACAGCATGTCCACTCACTGCAGCACGCAGAGGGTCCGGTTGGCAGCCAAGGCCTCAGCTATGGACCCGGCACCATCGTCCTTGATTGTGTTGTTCTGCAGGCTGTGGAAGTGAGGAAGAACATCACTGTGGAGCCCAAGAGGGCCCGATGACAGCCCAAGCTTCCCTGCAGTAGGGATACCTGCCTGGGAAGATGCTTCCAAGTTAACGAGGCCCAGAGGGGAGAGCAGTTGACCGTGCTGTTAAAGCAGCTTTGACCACCGCATGCCCTTGCTGCTCACCACAAAGAAACTGGCACAATTGGCTCTTCCCTCACCTCTCCCAGAGGCCACTTCTCTGAGTTTAGGTTTCCCTCTGGCTCTACTTGCCTGGAGACTGGGAACAGTATGCCCATAATATCTGGGTAGCCATAACAAGGTCACCAATAGTTCTAATTACAACTAAAAACAGTAGTCCCTAAGTATGAGTAAGGATGTGAAGAAATTATAACCCTCATCATTGTTGACGGGAACATAAAATGCTGCAGCTGCTGTGGAAAAGAGTGTGGTGTTTCCTCAACAAGTTAAACACAGAATTACAGTATGACCCAGAAATTCTGCTCCTAGATGTATACCCAAGAGAAATGAAAATACATATCCACACAAAAACGTGTGCACAAATGTTCATAGCAACGCTATTCACAATAGCCAAAAGGTAGAAACGATTCAAATGTCCATCAGTGGATAAATAGATACACAAATTGTGGTCTGTCCATACAATGGAATATTATTCAGCCATAAAAAGGAATGGAGTTGTGATAAATGCTACAAAGTGGATGAACCTTGAAGACATTATGTTGAGTTAAAGAAGATAGACACAAAAGGTCACATACTGTATGGCTGATGTAAAATATCCAGGATAGGTAACCCCATAAAGACAGGTTTACAGGGACTGCAGGGAGAGGAAATGGGGGATGACTGCTTTATGGGTATGGGGTCATCTTGGGGAGTGGTGAAAATATTTTGAAATTAGAGGTGATGGTCACACAGCATTATGAATATACTAAATGCCACTGCATGTATGATTATAAAAGTTAATTTTGTGTTATATGAATTTCACCTCAAAAAAGAAGGTAAAAAGAAAAAAGATAATACCACACTCAACTTTGGCCAGGATGGATACAACCACAGACACTTAAAAAGGATACAGCTAACCACATCAAACTATAAGAACCTTCTGGAATATGGGCTTTTTGATGTGCTAGAAAACACTTCGTAAGAAATTTCTGATACTGCAGCCTAGTGATTTCCCATTCAATAGAGAGGTTTCCTAAGAGATTCTTTTGTCCTTCCTCTTCTCTGTGGATACCCAATCCCTGCTTTTCTTCTGTCCCCTTCTCAGGCCACAAACACAAGCACGATGACTAGGGAAGAGCTAGAACTTGGAAAATTGCTGAAGATACAATATCCCATGGTATCTAGTGGGACTGGGGCCCAGGCCTACCATTTTGAATCACTTCCCATTCCAGAGATGGCACCTGAGGGAAGGATTTTCTAGACCCTCTCCTGGGACAGCAGGGACATGGGACAGGTAACATGTACCTCAGGGAAGTCAGAGTCCTGTTAATCTTCAGAGCATCTGCCAAGGCCTTGGCACCTTGAGGCCCAATGCAGTTACTGCGGAGGCTGGTGGAAGGAAGAAAGAAAGAATTGTCCTCTTTCCTCTTACTTCTGGGAATGGAAGGGGGAACAAAAGTTACTGTGGGCTCTAAATCTATGATCCTCGAGAAGAATGAGTTGGTGTTTAGGATTTCAGGTGTAATGGAATGGGGACAGAGATCCTTATATAGTCAAACAAGAAGTTTCCCAGGGTAGTCCCATGTGATGAAAAAAGGTCAAGACGTGATGGGCTAGGGAGTTTGGGCAAAATGAGAAGAATGATAACCCCACGCAAAACTGAAAACGGGCCCTGGATGAATGGACTCAGAGCTTCCCTGGGTCAGGCTCAGCAGTCCTGGGGAGTCTCACTCAGGCAGCAGCTGAGGGGTGGCCTGGCTTTGCTCAGCTCTGCTTCCAGCCCACGCAGAGGAAAGTGGGCCAGGGTGAGCCCTCCTTGTTGCCTCTTCCTGGGGAATTGAGGGGCCATCGGGCCCCTTGAAAATGCTCTAAATAAGCACAGGTGCCATGCCCAGAGGTGCCCCATGGGCTGAATTTGGGGAAGCAGGAAGGCTGGAGAAGACTTCGGTCATTTCACAGGAGGCAGAGGAGCCTGCACAAGATTGCTCACAAGCTCTCACTGTTCCGATGGCGAAGCTTCGGCCTTTGGCGTCCTACTTACTCCAGAGCAGTCAGACTTCTGTTGACCAGAAGGGATCTGGCCAGAGCTTTGGCCCCTTTGTTTCTAATCTGGTTCTCAGCCAAGCTGCCCAAGGAAAGAGAGAGGAGTGGTTATTCAGGTCCATGCATCCCATCATCTCTTCCTTCATGCCATGCCTGTGACTTGAATCCCCAGGCTTCCCCAGGGCCTGGACACAGGTGGAGGAGAGGAGGTGGCCCACTGAAACAGGATGGCCAGGCACAGGAATGTCCCCGATCCTAGGCAAGGTAGAGCCAAAGTGGGTGTACAGATGCTCACTCTGGCAGATGGTTCCAGGGAAAGGTTTGGCCAGAATCCAGCACAACAGCTTTCACACACAGCAAAGCAAAGAGGGCAGTTACTGAAGCCCACCGTGTGAATGCCAGCCTACGGCGTGCCAGTAAACTTGCTCTCCGTAAAAACAAACACAAAAAAAACCTGATGGTAGCATTTGCCAGTTTCCATGGTGTAAATACTCCCACCATGACCAACAGTTTAACAACCAACTTGCAAAATCCTTGCAAATTTAACCATTAGCTCTCGTAAATGGTACAAACTGGTTCCAGCACACCACTGATTCCAGCCTTAGAGTTAAAAAAAAAAAAAAAAAACACTATACCTGCCTTGAAAGAGTGATTCCAGGAATATACTGGTGAATCAACTTAACGTTGCTTCATGTACCCAATTTCAAAAGTGATAGTTGTTGAACTTCTTTACACTTTCCTTTAAAACTGTGGGGGTAGCCCCATGGGGTGCAGTTAGTTGTTCAATGAGATCTCTAGGCCAGTACTTTTAAAGCTGTGTTCCAAGGGCCCTTAAGGGTCCTCAGAAAAACTTCAGGAACCATTGAGAGGCGTGAGGAAACCAGCTGCTTGGGCTCTGGGCCCCCACCTCCATGTCTTTCAATCCTAGCAGCTTCCCTTTTGTCTGTTTTACATATTAGGTTCTGCCTGATGTCACTTTTTGAAAAGATGATATTTCTTAAAGTTTGAAGACACCCATCCAGGCCACCCTCTATAGAAATGTTCTCAGATTCTAGAGACACTCTGTCCCCTCAGGACTTTTATGACATTTCATAAGTAGTATTTTATGAGCCTTGTGACTTTTCTGAAGGGTGGCTTGGACATTTCAAGCATGGATGTGACATTAAGAACCAACTACATCATGATGAAAAAGAGCATGTGGCCATGGAAGAACTTTTTTGGCTCTGTTCAGAATGATTTCTGAGCATTGTCTAGCCTCTTTGAAGCAAAACATTAAAAGTTGACTATCTTGATATGTGCTAAAAGTATTGGAGGCTCCCGTGAAGTTAAAACTAGTAGTAGTAATTCAGCATTATCATTTTTCTTTCAAAGGGGTTACATTAATCTCTTGCTGACAAGGCAAAGGTAATACCACTAATGACGGTTTTTCCTTCTATGATGCCTCCTCTGTGCCTGCCTTGTCCCAAGCACTTTAATCAACTCATTTAAGCCTTACAACAATCCCAGGAAATGATTGACCTTGCCCAAGGAAAGGTCTGGCCCTTTCCCCTGGATCCTGGAAGTAACCTTTAAGTCCGTGGAATATCTTGTCTAAGTTTCTTTGTTTCCTTGAGGGTCTTGGGCCATGCCAGATAGTTTATGCTAACAGTGTGATTTATGGTGGGGCTCTGGGCCATGTGGTATCAGCTTGACCTCTGGAAGGACTAGAGATTAAGATCAGCCATAGAGGTGAGCTGCCATGTCTGTGTGACCAACCCATAATAAGAACTCTGGGCACCGGGATAACGTGAGCTTCCCTGGTTGGCAATGCTCCATGGGTGTTGTTTCTGGGAGAATTAAGCACTAGGCACGTGATTTCACTGGGAAAGGACACTGGAAGCTTGTGCCTGGTCTCTCCTGGACTCTACCTTTTGCCTTTACTGATTTGAATTTGTATCATTTTGTTGTAATAAACCACAACCAAGTGTACGGTGACTTTTTTGAGTTCTGAGAGTCCTCTTAGTGAATCATTGAATCTGAAGATGGTCTCGGGGACCTATCAAACTTGCAGGTAAATACTGTTTTACCCCCACTTTTACTCTAAGTATGGAGGTGTCTTATTCAAGATTACACAGCAGCACAGAGTCTACTGTCCTAACTCTATTCTCAGTGACTTGTTTTTGTCCCCAACTGGTTCTAAACTTTTGTTTCTTCAAAGAAAGATTATTCAGAACCTGGAAAATGGTTGAGGATGAAAAATTGCTCTCTGGGTCATATCCTTCAAACTCACCTCCCTCACATCATCACCCCTCACATCATCACATTGGTCCAGCTACAACCAGGGTGTTACTCAGATTCAGAAATGTTCTTACAGGAGAGATTTCATAAGCACGTAGCTCTATTTTTCAGTCAATAAAGAAGACTCATCTAATTACAACATTGTTGTTTCAAGTTGCCATCGAGTTGTCTCCAATTCATGGTGACCTTATATATAACAGAATATTATATGCCCCAAATACTATTTAAGGTCAAACTGTGAGAGGAACTTAGAGAAAGTTGGACGCGGCACCATGTCAGCATGAATAGCTCTTGAGAAGTGCTTTCATGTCCATCATGGTGTCTGACTCTCATCATACCATTTCTATCTTTTTCACAGGTCAGCTACCTGGGGCTCTGGAATGCTCTAGAATGGGCAGAAACAAGCAGACTGCATCCTGAGCTACATGCATCAAAGACATCTGTCCGTGAAGGTGCTATTGCCCAGCTGAGCAGAGTGAGTGATGGGAGAGGAGTCAGGGACCCCACGAGACAGGAGGGAATCCCGGGTGGGGCCCCCAGGGTCAGGGTCACCTGATCTTCTGAATGCGACAGTCCTTTCCGCTCAGCACACTGCCCAGCAATTCCATCACAGGGTCCTGGAACTGATTGGTGTCCAGCCTGCCCAAGAAGTACAGTGACAGTGAGTGGTACCACCACCTACGACCAGGATGCGAGGAGGCCCCTGGCAAAGGGACTGGCATCGGTCAGGATTGTTGATCCCAGGTCTCCAGATATCCAGCTGGGGCCCCTTTCCCTCTCCTCTCCTCTCCACCTCATCCTTGGGCTCAGAGACCCATGCCCAGAACACTCACAAGGCTCCGAGTTTTCCTTTGGAAGGTGAACTGAGAGGCTCAGAGGCTGTGAGGCCTGGGATCCCTGCCCAGGGGTGTGTCTTCCAGGGGCCATCATCCCAACAACCCTGCACGCCACATGCACCTGCACAGAACTATGCTTGCTCTCCTCCTCCTGATGACATGCACATGCTCTCAGGCCCCAGGACTCTCGCCCTAATTTTCCACTCCCCTTTGCTGAGGTCCTGAGCAGTGAGTGGAGCCAGGGGGCACTGCTTCAGGTGGTACTGGAGGAGAAACAGTTGCAGGCCCTTCTCTCTCTGCCCACATGCCCTGTGTGCCTCCCTCTGTGCCCACCTGAGGCTCTGGCAGTATAGCAGCTGGGGTAGCAGGCTCTGGAGGACGGCCTGGCTGAGGGACAGGGACAGGTTGGCCTCCTGGACACAGGCATCCGACACCTGCAGCAGGTAGGCCAGGGTGGCACGGTGCGCAGGGCTGGTCAGCCCAGCCAGGCCCCCGTGCTCCATGGCCTCCTCCACGCTGCGGGCCAGCTCCGTGTGCTGCAGCTCGTGAAGGCAACGTAGGATGTTGACGGCCCGGGCGCTGACAGCACCCTCCGGGGCCAGGCATCCCTGCAGGAGCCCTGCCGCCTGCGCCCGGTAGCCCTGGTGCTCACCCGGGGCCAGCAGGGAGCCCGCCAGCAGGGCGTTGACCCTGGGGGACAGGAGCCCCGAGAGGAAGCGCAGGAACACGTCCAGCCGGCCATCCTCGGCCTGCATGGCCCGCTGCACCGCGCCCCGGAAGTGTGTGAGGAAGCCCAGCCGGGGCCAGGACACACCGCTCTCCGTGAAGAGGTCAAAGATGGCCCTCTTGGATGCACCGTAGTAATAGGTGGCTGCCACAAACTCCTGCAGGGACAGGTGGGAGAAGCAGTAGGTGGCCGGAGAGCCCAGCGTCTCCCCCTGCTGTAGGAACTGGCCACACAGGGCACTTTGCAGCAGGGCCAGGTCCACCCCGAAAGCCTTCAGGTCCTGTTCATAAAAGACGTACTTCTTCCTGACCAGCCCGTGGAAGGCCAGCCGGCCCAGCGTCCCCAGCACCCTGCGGCCTCTGTGCGCCACCGGCTCGATGCGTTGGCTCACCTTGCCCTTGTCGTTCCCCTCCCTGCCCAGTGCCATCCTGAAGTACCAGGCGTAAATCTCACTCAGGGTCCTTGGGGACGACAGCTCAGCACCCGCGGGACCCTGCCGCTGGCGGCACAGGTGGGCCAGTGCCGACCCCACAAGCAGGCAGAAGGCGGGGATGGTGCACATGAGGTACAGAGCCCTGTTGGCCTGCACCTGGGCCAGGACCCAGCCCGTGAGGCTCTGGTCCTCCGGGAATTGCTGGCCCAAGCATGCCTGCATCTCCTCCTCGTTGAAGCCCCGGATCTCCGTCATCCGGTCCACCAGGCCCCCTGGGACCTGGCTGGCTGCGCTGGGACGGGAGGTGACCCAGACGGAAACTCCTGGGAAGAGATTGCCTCGGATGATGTTGGTGACGAGGCTGTCCATCGGGATCTCCTTCTTAGGGTCTGTGCAGGCCGCGCTGTTGGAGAAATCCAACGGCGTCTTACACTCATCCAAGCCGTCCAGAATTAGGAGGGCCCGGGCTGGGGCCGCTGTGGCCAGGCTGGGCTCCCCGACGTGAGGGTAGGCCAAGCGCACGAGCCTGTCGGCTGACAGCTTCTCCTGAGTGTTGAGCTCACGGAAGGTCATTGGCAGCACCAGCGAGAAGTCCTTGGCGAGCTGCCCTCGGGCCCAGAGACGGACAAAGTGCCTCACCAGGGTGGTCTTGCCCACGCCAGCCACCCCGAGAGTGATGGAGACGCGGGGTGGGACTGACACCCGGGAGAGGGGCAGGAAGAGCCCATCCAGGGCGATGGGCTTGGCAGAGCGCCCGGCCCCACGCGTGGCCTCCACCTGCGTGAAGTCGTGTTCCTGCAGCTGCAGGTCTGTCAGGCCGTCCACCAGCAGGAGGCTGGCCAGCCTGGCTGGGGGCTCACCCTGCTCAGGGCCGCCCCCCAGCCGGCTCAGTAGGAATTCCTGGTGCCGCTGGGTCCTTGAGTCTGCAGGACAGAGGCCCGAGGGGGCATGGAGGGTGAGGATGACCGGGCAGGACAGAGGGCCCCCTCTGCCACCTGAGCCCGTCCTACCATTGCCGGGGGGCTCTGGGGGAGCATCTGGCGTGCTGTCGGGCGTCGGCAGGGCCTGGGTCCCCTGACTGCCCTTCCCTGCCAGCAGGTCCATGAGGGCTTTCACCTGTTCGGCGGGGGAGCCGGGCCCGGCCTCCCCGCCCACCCGCACCTCCTGCTTCCGCATGCGGTCTGGGGTCTCTGCCGGGAGCTGTGGACAGAGGATCTGGCCCTGCCACCTGCTCTGTGCCCGTCCAGGCCCTCCAAGGGTGCACCAGGACCCACCTTCTTCTGCCCCAGCCCAGTGGTCTGGCCTCCAAGAAACGCCCCCCTCCATAAGGCAGGGCTGTTCCTCACAGGGTGTGAGAACAGCCCCATCCCACAAGCACCACAGTGCAGGGGCCACGTGGTGGCAATTGGCTCTGGCTGGGCCCCTGCTTTGCCCCTCACCAGCTGTGTGACACCAGGCAGGCTGATGAGGTGCTCTGAGCCACAGCGTCGTCATCGGCAGCCGGGAAATGGTGATGAGGTAGGTGGAGGCATCAGAGGGCAGCCAAGCCGGATCCCACGTGCCTGCTTGGTGACTCTCCTTGTCCTGTTGCTCTGGCGTCTCCTGGAAGTGGAGGGTCTCCCTCTTTCTGCCGAGACAGACGCAGCGATGCTGAGAGTGCTATGCACAGCCGCCTCCTGCCCCAGGTCCTGAGTCGCTTTCCTTCTCAGGGCTGGTTGCACTCCCACATGGCCCCCCACATCAAGGTGGACACTCAGGACCCAAAGCCCGCTCTTCCCTCACCTGGCGTGCAGCAAGCAGGACGTCTGTCCATAGCAGGCCCAGGGGCTCAGGGGGCAGGTGCAGGCCATCCCGCGCCCATGGTTCTAGAGAGAAAGCATGCCATGGAGCCCTGTGGGGTCATGGCCCAACACCCCTCCTTGAGGGCCTGCCCAGCATCCCAGGCTGCCTGCCCCCCAGTGCCCCTCTGCCACAAATGCATGTACTAGAAGAGGCCGTAGAGAGTGCAAGTGTTGGTGTCAGCGAGGCCTTGGTTTCAATCCCAAGTCAGCTCTTTCCCAGCTGTATGTCCTTGGGCAAGTCACTTAACCTCTCTGAGCCTCAGTATCCTCATCTCTAAACTGGAAGAAATCATCGTAATGAGAGTTGTTATGGGAAGACTGTAGTAATACCCACACCATTTCATAAATATAAAGCAATTCACAAAAGTTCAGCATAGGATTATCATTATCATAAGAGCTCTGGTGGCGTAGTGCCCAAGGGATCTGACTGCTAACCAGAAGGCTGGCGGTTCAAACCCACCAGCCACTCCTCGGAAGGAAGACTGGGAAATCTACTTCAGTAAAGATTTACTGCCTTGGACACCCAAAAGGGGGTTGCTGCGAGTCGGAATTGACTCCATGGCAGTGAGTTTGGTTTCTGGATCGTTATCAAATTGTGTGCTGTTGAGTAGATCCTGACGGATAGTGACCTGATGTGACAGAGTAGAACTGCCCCATAGTTTCCTAGGCTGTGATTTTTATGGGAGCAGACCTCCAGGTCTTTTCTCCTGTGGAGCTACTGGTAGATTTGAATCATCAACCTTTTGGTTACCAGCTGAGCTCTTAACTTTGTGCCCTCGGACTCCTTAGAATTCTCTGAGCCAGCAATTCTGCTCCTAAGTGTTTACCCAAAAGACTGAAAGCAGGGAGACAGATACAGATACAGATATTTTCTTTAGGATATATACCTAGTGATGGAATTGCTGGGTCAAATGGTATTTCTATTTCCAACTTTTTAAGGAGTCGCCATAATGATTTCTACAGTGGTTGTATAATTTTACAGTCCCACCAGCAGTCCCAACCTCTCCATATCCTTGCCAGCATTTGTTATTTTCTATGTTGTTGAACTTTGCTAATTAGTGATGGGGTAAGATGGTATCTTGTTTGTTATTTCTTAATTTTTATTGTGATTTGGGTGAAAGTTTACAGAACAAATTCCTTTTCCATACAGCAGTTCATACACATTTTGTTTCATGACATTGACTGGAATTCCCCACAGTGTAACAGCTCTTTCCCCACTTCCTCCCTGTCCTTCTTTCCTATGCATTCCTGCCCCCTGATCTATCTCCCTGTGCAGACACTGCTCTTCTGTTCTCCCAGGATTGATCGTTCTAAGGAGTGTATCTACCTAATGTAAACGTTCACCCTATATGCCAGGCTGTTGTTTGGCTGGAAGCCATGGGAGTGAGTTCAATTCCAGACCTGAAGGGTAACTAGGGGCCATGTCTTTTTTTATGATTCTGCCACTCATGAAATATCTAGAAAAGGCAAATGCATAGAGACCAGAGTTTATTAGTGGTTACCAGGGGTGGTGGTGGTGGGGGGAAAGGGCATTGCATTTCTGTTGTTGTTACATGCTGTCAAGTCGGACCTGACTCATTGCGACCCCTCCTTGGGTTTCTGAGGCAGTATCACTATGGAAGTAGATCACCCAACCTTCCTTCTGAGGAGTGGCTGGTGGGTTTGAACCGCCAGCCTTCTGGTTAGCAGTCAAGTGCCTTAGGCACTATGCTACCAGAGCTCCTGTATTTCTGTTAGGGTGGTAAAAAAAATTTTTTTGGAAACAAATAGTGCTGATGGTTGCACAGCAAGGGAAATATAATTAATATCACTAAACTATACACATAAAAAAGGTTGAAAGGGGAATGGTTTTTTATGTATATTTTTACCACAATAAAAAAAAAATGTTATGCTAGCAACACTCTAAAACCTCACATGCATGTAACGAAGCCCTGTTACAGCCAGTCTGTCAGAGCAAGGAGGAGGCTGGGACCCTGGGATGGAGGGCTGGCATCCATAATGTTCTTGGACTGCAGACTGCAGGGTGTGGCCTGGGATGGACACACCCACCAGGTGACAAACCTGCAACAGCTGGGAGTGGAGTGGTGGCAAGGCACACTGGGAGACCATGCTGCAGAACGGGACGCAGGGCGGTGAGGTGCTTACTATGGCCGTCTAGCCATCATCCTCCATGTTGTGAGTCTCTATGCCTGTTTGGGGAGCTCTGGTAGCATAGAACCAATAATAACAGGCAACAACCGACCATTAATACACAAGGTGACGTAACCCAGAAACCAACACAGCTATGGAGGTATCCAAAGTAAAATAAGCTTACAAGATTATACACAGGGAGCCGGAGACATCAATTGGCAAATGAGGGCAGCTACAAACCAAAAAGAGGGGAAATACTGTGTAGTTACAGAACTTCTAAATGGTGAGGAAGTCAAGAGAGTTGCAAGATAGAATGGACTGTTCTAAACTCGAGGAGAAAGTTATAAATCACACGGTAACCTCAAAGAAAAATGATAAACCTTCACATCACAATAAAAAAGAGGACAAGCACAAATATTCAGCAAATACTAAAACATCAGCAACAAAGGAAATGATAACATGATCCATAAACATAATGAGCTCAGCACAGAAAATAATATGGAACAAAGAAATCAGGGGCAGCATGAAAAAAAACTTAACAAAATGACAGCAACCAATTCATACTTGTTGATAATTACACTGAACGTCAATGGATTAAATGCACATGGAGAGTTGCAGACTGGATAAGAAAGCATAACCCATCAATATGCTGCCTACAAGAGACACACCTTAGAGACAAAGACAAAATTAGACTAAAAATCAAAGGTTGGAAAAAGATATATCAAGCAAATGGCAAACAAAAAAGAGCAGAAGTTAACAATGTTAATTTCTGATCAAATTGACTTTAAGACAAAAACCACCATACGACACAAGGAAGGACATTATATAATGATGAAAGGATCAATTGAACATGAAGATATAACCATAATAAACATCTATGGACCCAATGAAAGAGCCCCAAAATACATAAATAAGACTTTAACAGAATTGAAAAGGCAAATAGATGACTCCTCAGTCATAGTAGGAGTCATCACTTTCAATCAAAGATAGAACAACTGGAAAGAAACTCAACTAAGATGCAGAAGAGCTAAACAATACAATCCACCAACTTGGCCTTACAGATATCTTACGGAGCATTTCACCTGACAACAGCACAATATACATTCTTTTCCAGTGCACATGGAACATTCTCCATGATAGACCATGTTAGGCCATAAAGCAAGCCTTCATAAATTTAAAAACATTGAAATAATGCAAAGCATCTTCTCAGATCACAATGCTATCAAATTAGAAATCAACAATAGGAAGATCAATGGAAAAAGAGCAAACACATGGAAACTGAACAACAGTCTCCTTAAGAAAGACTGGGTAAGAGAAGAAATAAAAATTGAAATTAAAAAATTCCTTGAATCAAATAAGAATGAAAACACAATATACCAAAATCTTTGGGACACAGCAAAAGCAGTGATCAGACGCCAATATATAGCAATAAATGCACACATCCAAAGAGAAGAAAGAGCCAAAATCAACATTTTAAACCAACATCTCCAACAATTAGAAAAAGAGCAGCAAAAAAGTCTCCAGTCATCAGCAGAAAGGAAATAATAAAGAGTCAAGCAGAAATCAATGAAACAGAAAATAGGAAGACAATAGAAAGAATCACCAAGACTAGAAGCTGGTTTTTTGAAAAGATTAATAAAATTGACAAACCACTGGCAAATTTAACAAAGAAGAAGAAGGGAGAGAATACAAATAACATGAATAAGAAATGAAATGGGTGACATCACAACAGAACCAACTGAAATAAAAAGGATAATATCAGGATACTATGA